CTGTTACTTCTAAATATATCAATTTGTTTTCTATAAAAAGTGATGTTCATAATTTTTAAACTACAAAATAAATTAACAAATTATAAGTTTATTTATTAAATTCGATAATGAAAATAAATTAAAACTACTTATCTAAACTACTCGTATGTCTTAACTATACAAAATACAAATGTCTCCCAGATTTAATAAGTTAATATTTTACTCAGGGGGAACTGTATTATTTTACAATCAATGTATAATAATTTAATTAAAATACTTTTCAAGAAAGCATAAGGCTACTATAAGATCTAATTATATAGGAGATATAAAAATGCCTGGACTTAAGGTGTTTTGCCATTTTGATAGGTGATTTCGTTTATACGAATTATATTTTAAATTGAATGTAGTATTTATTATTTTAATATTGTAGGGTCATAATTAATTTATATTGTTAGTATTGATTTAATAATTTATGAATATCGAGTTTTGTAAAACTCATTACTTCTGTTCTGTCGGTGAGTTTCTTCTCGTTCTTCTTATCGGCCAAAAGACGTCCTGAACGAGTGGAAGGGAAAGAAAACGTAGCACGATTCAAAAGTATTTCTAAGAAGTCTGTTTGAATAAAGATTATTTTGACGCACAAAAAAAAGAACTGGTCATCGTTTGAATCGATCTGCGAATCTATATATATTCCGCTTTCCTCATAAAACTATAATATTGCGAAATATTGCTCAGCCAGACCGTGTACATACCATTAATCGGTATAAATGATAACGAACGATGATGCACTGTCTGAAGAGTACATCGAGTAAAACTTCATATTTCAACGTTTTTAAAACATGTCTTGTCATTAGATTCAATCAAAATTCCTACTCTAATGTCTTGGTCACTTTCACAATAGGGGTTTAGAATTGTCATATTGTAAAATCGTTTATCTTTTAGTGTATTGCGACCGTGGGTCTTTCAATTCCCTACTCAAATGCATATATCGGTTTGATTAATCGATATGCTGATCGACTGTGATTATTTCAGTTAATTTTAACAGTTCTTCTAAGAAATATCACTAAAATCAATCTTACGTTATTTATTGACTGTTATTTCTTTATATGCTAAACAAAACTAGGCGAGATTAAAGGTTCCCAAAGATACAATTATTACTGGACAAATTTTGCTGTCTTCATCATTCGACCTATCGACAATGATGGTGAAATACTATTTTTCATGATATTTTTATTCGTCAAAAAACAGATTATGCCTAGTTTGTTGAGCCAAATAACTTTCGGAGCATCGACATTCTGCCAGATAGAGGGAACGGATAAATTATTGCCAATGAATATAAAGCGAATATTAAAATATATTTGCACAGAAAAATTGTCCGTATAATTAAGAGTGGAAATCCCAAAACGGTGTGAGATCCCAACGAGTGCCATTAAATTTAACTTCGATAATGGACGTTTATGAATAGCCCGAGGGAATCGCGGATGGACTACTTGGGGCCATTGACGAGACGATTCGCACTCTGATGAAAATTTGTTGACTAATCCTGGTGTTTTTCAGTGGAATATTGAGAAGTGCTAATTTCATTGGTCATAATTACAAAGATGATCCGTTTAATTAAGGTTAAGGATGAACTTCAAAAACTTTTTTGAAGGAATGGGATTCTTTCATCGATTTTATGCGATTGGACAACTGTATCCATCCAAACAAGGGTGCTCTGTTTCATAATTGTGTTTACTATTAGTCCGAGTCTGAATTCAAAATGACAAGCCTTGGAGAAGCTTTTGAATCATTCACATTTTGTACTATGTTAAATCAAGATCTACTCGACAATAAAATTTGGTTTAATAGAGTACATGGAGTTATTTTGCTTTATTGAAATGGATCATTATTTTTTAAGCATTTGTATGCCCTATAATAGTGATTGCATACATAATAAAAAATACCTACCTACCTACTTTAATTTTGTAACTTTTGCTGTTATTGATTTATTTTTTATTATGTATGCAATCACTATTTCTTATTATAAATTATTATACAATATAACGCCAAAAGAATATTTTGTTGTTCTTGGTAAATTTACGCCATTCCTTTATCAGTACAAAATCTTTACTCATAAAATAGTGACATTTATAATGTACGATACAATATCTTGATAATTTATAATAATTTTGTAATCTCAGACATTTTAAAGTCAAAGATAATAAATATTTTTTATGAGTATGAGAATAAGGTTAGGTTTATTATTAAATTTACGTATAAGTGCCCCAAAAAATTATGTTCACTGTATACTTATTTTTTACATATTACTAAAAATAATATAAAAAAATAAAAAATTATACTCATATTTTTTTTATATTCTGAAATTACAATATATTTAAATAAATCCGGCCTAGTTGCAATAGGAAAGATGCACAAAAATATAAGCATGCACAAAAAAATAAAATATAAATATGAAGCCTGTATGAAGGTATAATTTTCACGTTTTTTAAAGGTTATCAATTCAAGGTGTGTGTAATTTCGTTGGGATTGCTTAAAATTCATATATGTTGATCTATTTAGGCTTTTAAATACGTTAACGCGTTAATAAAATTTTGTAGTATAACTTTTTTTCCAGTCATTTCTCTTTTTGAAGTATATTTTTTTTATTTTTCGGTTCGACAATCGTATCGTGGTCGTCTCGCAAGCACGTAAAGCGTCACCGCCTCGAGTATCAATATCTTTTCACGGCAGATGCGTCGCATTAGAGCAGATGTGGCGTCGCTCCAGGCTTATCCATCAACAGTATCCTTACACGAGACCTATTTCTCAACGTTATTGTCAAATTTTACGAAAATAATTCCAGTTGTTATGAATTTCATATTATAGTACAACTTCAAGAATTACATATCTAAATAAATAACAGCTGAACAATGTTTTTTATTACTTCATAGAAAGGTTCTGGAATATTTTATTTACTTTAGTGATATACAAAAAATTAACGTTAAACATAACAAATAATACAACATAGTAGTTTTACGTCAGCGACATAGATATGACGTCGAAGTAAATAAAATTGGAGGAATGCTCTCCTTTATTTTGATATTAAAAACATAAATGCTGATCCAGATATCGACAAATTTTAAGGGTGCAGTAAGAGTAAAAGTTTACAACAGGAGCTACAGCAGAATATACTCAGTTGAAATAACATACATCTAATGACTTAAGTAGTCAAGTGGCTTATTAACAGTGAAATTAAAATGGTAGAACAATTTAGAGTCAGAAGAGATCAAACACATCTCTCCCGACCAAAGTGAAGGCGTGTAATCGAAAGGTGATTTCAGAAATCAAAACAAAAAGCAAAAACCTATAAATATCAAGTGTGTTTTTAATATTTTTGGTCGCCATTTGCATCTGATTTGTTGTGTTCGGTTCTGTCAACCCTGTCAAGACTTTCTATTAAAAACAAATAAATACGCTAGCGTCGTTATTAATAAACCTTTATTAATAGCTTATATAAGTAATAATAACGTAATTACTCATATTCATAACTGAGGTGGTTAATCTACTTCAGTATTGAAACCATAAAGTTACAGTGTTACACATTGTACTATATAATCATAAACGAGTACACTACAGTTGCCGAGAAGTTATTCTACGGCGTATGGGTTTTTTCATTGTATCACTTACTAGATTCAACTAGTAAATACATTTTAGTACTCCATAACTAATAGGTGCAACAATGCTATTTGACTTTCAAACCAGGCCGCTCGATTCATAAACATAATTCAGTTGACAACACAAAACAGAATTTGTAATATCGTCCGCACATTGCTACATATACATATTTCCATACAAACAAAGTGCCGTAACATAAATCACCTATAACAATGGCTACTCCGTACCCAGTGTATGTACATATTAAATATACAAATGTATGCAGAAAACGATCTATCGTTTGTGTCGTAACCTTATAGGCTTCATTATCAAATAAAAAATTTGAAAATGATATCACACCTAGTTATGTTGGAAACATATGTTAATGATATGTGGTTGGATTTTTTAGACTGTTAATAATCCTTACTTTTTTAGATATTTAAATTTAAAATTAATATTGTCGTCTTGGTAAATCACTGATGATACACGATGGACCGATTAGAATGTCTAAGTGCGGAAAATTAGAGACCCTAACCTAAATCACTGGTGACAAATGTTCAGTTAGTATTCTAGTAACCGAGAACTTTATCAAAAGAAAAGCCATTCAAAGATTTAGTCTCTACGCCTAGTTTGTTTCAACTTAAGCAACATTATCTTTGCTATCTATATTTTTGCCATTGCCAGATCTCAATTCTTTCTATTGTATTTACAAGGTAAACTGAAATAATTATTATTACAAAATCTTTTTATTAATATAAAGTCCTTTATGGAGTTCACGTAAAGCTCAATAAAGGCGTTTCTAATCGCAGTTCGTTCTTTATTTAATACGATATGTTGCATATATTCCTTAAACCACGCAAACATTACAAAGATCATTCTAATCGCGATTTTCATAAATCAAAACATTTGTATTCGGAATTTCAAAACTGCCATGACATAGTGCATGACTTCATTTACAAATCAGAAACCTTCGCGGTTCACTGCACCCGTCCGAAGTTCCGATTCCGCAACATCAGAACACTGGGAATAGCGATTGCATAAATTTTCCTGAACGTTGCGGTGGAAGTTTACGATTTAAACGTCTCTGCCAATAGTGTTTGATATTGGCATCTATAGTATTTACTGTGTCATTAAATAAGCTTGAAGTTTTATCAGTTACAATCAGTTTATAAAACAAAGTGTGTTTATATGATAGTAAAAGCGACTATGCAATTTCTTAATAATTAATTTTGGTTCTTGGTACACCAGACGTAACGTTTGTTTCCTACCTAAACAGAATAGTTGACAGTGACGTGAATGGACTATCAATTATTTACTTCAACAGTGCCAACATAACCAACTTCCATGTTAAATTATTCCTACCTTCGCTAACACAACAATAATACACAATGATATCTGTTTCAACAGTTGTATGGCAAGATTGGCAAGTGCGCGTTACGTCAACGCCGGCTGAGGTAGGCGGGCCGGCGCTCTTGACGTGTGTGGCACCGGCGAGCCTGCGCGAGCACGCATCAGTCGCCGCCTGGTACAGGGACGATGCCGTCCTACCTGCCGCTGATCGTCTGGGTAACTATCGAGTGACAGTATTCTCCGAATTCAAATTTTTATCGATATTGGTGCATATTTTTCATATATCTCATGCGTGTTTGATCTAAAGCATATTTACTATTAGTAACTAACTTTGAACTCACCTAAGTAGAATTGTTTGGTATAAACAGAATGTAACGATACAGGGGTGATACTGTTATAGTCTGATTACAACATTTAATCAGTACATTTAAAACCTCGTGAGAAACTATTCGCTTTTATTACGAGTGGGTCCGTATTCGAAGCACTGTTTATCGTTGGTATTCCACCCTCCTATCAGGGGAAGAGAGATGTTAAAATTCTTTAACAATGTAATGATAATTTATTTCAAAATTAAAATAAAGCTTTGTCCTTTTCGTATAGCAGGCAACACCCTGCTAGTAGAAGATGGTTGGCGACTGGTGGTCCGCTCAGTCACAACTGACGACTCCCGAGCACAGTACTCGTGCTCTGTGCTCGATCCATTGACTGGTGAGCGGAGGAGGAGCACCCCCACAAGCATTGAAGTGACAGGTCAGTTGTCTTCTGTACAAAGATTGTCGATAAACTAACAAAGCAACTTTACGAATTGAGGATTGAGAAAACGAATTGAGTCGGTAAGCCAGTAATTTTTTGTGAAATAAAATTATCTGTTTATATTATCACATAACAGAAGAAAACTATGTTCCTTCAACAAACGCATATTAGTAGATAGTAATATAATTACTGAAATCAACCACTTTAATTGGCAAATTAATATAACAACTGTCAGGATGACAATGTTTAGTTTGCAATGAATAAAACACATTTCATTAATCCATTTTTTTGTTCTTCACAAAGTTTTCGGAATTTTCATGTGGTATTTTACCTGAATTTGTAAATAAACTAGAAGAGTTAGTAATGTTCACGTTTCTTTAATTACCGATGCAGCAACGAGTGCGGCGTCAGCTCCTCGCGGTATATCACATAACCAATGGGAGGCGACCGTCCGCCGGGGAGTTGACGTGGTGTTGCCGTGCTTGGTCCATGCAGACCCACCGGCCGCTGTCACGTAAGTAATTATTGAACTTAAAATCAGTCACAGTACGGTAAAAGTATCGATTGAAAATATTATTTCCAGTGTTTCCAATATCAGTGTTTTATATTGAATACACATGTACAGTTAAATCTCATTGCTATGATTTTACGGGACAGCATAACGTTACCTAGATCTTTCTATCTCTTTCTTGCAATATACGATACTTTCTAGATTAAAACAAAATAAACACTCTTGCATATTTACGTCTCTATAAATATTTATTTTAGTCCTTAATACATTTACTTCTTATCGCACAGTTGTTTTTTACTTAATTACTATCGGACATCACTAGGACGCAATTGTATAGTTACAAATAAATGGGATTAAGCCCTTATACAGCACTGTGGAAATGTCCTGAATGTTTTCTAACCCTAGTGTCTGTTCTCGTATGCCCAGCACACCCTTGGTCATGATCACAAAAACTTCAGTGTCCTCCTAACGACCGTTGGGAGCGTGACATATGTCTGTTGGCGTGGCTCTCATTACCCCCGCACTAAACGCGACAGTTACCATTAATGCCCGTCCATCGCCGGACTTACTCACGCCTTTTAACTCGGCAACCTATTTAACCAGCAATAGAGGTGTAGGATTACGAAGGGGTCTTGTATGGGAGTCACGCAGACTTTGCACTTTTTGCTTTTTGACATCGCTTCTCGGGTACCCGTTTAATTAAACAAATAAAAGGATATTGAAAAATATATATTTTAACTGCCAATTGTTAAAAATGCTTCATATCCTCTCTACCTCTCACTTGCTTTAGCTTTCCTTTATGTATCAGAATCATATATACGCTCCAGGTCCTATAATATTTGGCACCATTAGCCCATTTAATCAATTTCTAGAATACAAAAAGGACGAATAAACCATCTTATTATAGGCTTTTAGTGAATCAGTAACGTGTATTAAATATTAAACGTGAGATCCGTTGCGGTATATGTAAACGGAGAGAACCAAGCGTTACGAAGCATGATCTATACACACATTTTTCTTTTATACATACTCTCGGGTTTCACCTATTACAAATACGTGTACAATTTGATCTCAAAAAGTGTATCTTAGCCTCCCACGGCTTCAAAATTCTAATATAACACATTGTATATCCGTTTCATTATTCATTTTTTCTAACTATATATATAGAGTTATCTTAACCAGCGGAGAATGCCTTTTTTTTCATTGAAACTATCTTTCAATTTACGTTTCTCTTGTTTGGGGTGTGTAATGGATTTCTGTGGGACCATTTGAGCTAATGACCGACTAATGAAGATTATGGATGCATTCATGGGGCGTTACGCTGTCACGGGGCGCTCAACCGGAAAGTAAGTCATGCGTTATAAGACTAAAATCAAGCTTGAATGGTTTAATCAAAGTATAAATGTAAAACTACACCAAGACAACACAATGGAAGTTTATTTTATACTAAACTCAGATTATATAATGCTGTGAGCTATATATTAGAGAAATTCGAATTGTTTGAAATTTAGTTCGTGTTCGTGAAAAAATTAGTTCGTGTACTAACTAACAAACCGTCTCGTTCATAAAATTAATTTTGACATATCAAAAGTGACGTTTAAAAATTTTTGTAATTAAAATTTTAGATATGTAGAGTAGAACCTCGGAATAAAATCAAGATGCCAAACGCAAGCAAACGGTACTCACTGCAAATTCCACGTCAATGCGTCAATTTCAGAAAAAACAACCTAATACAAACGTAGCGGCGGCATTCCTGTCGCTCAGAGCGGGCTCGTAAACGCGGTAGCAGTAAAACGCAGTGTAATTACGTTATATAGCGTTATAACGTTGTACGTTAGATATTAGCACGTTAATGGCTTGTTGAAAAATCGTACCTATGCGGCAACGTTCTACCATGCGGTCACATCAAGCCATATGAATACAAAGGGTGTTTTGAAGTGGGTACCATTTCATAATGGAAACTATTATATTCTTGTTTAATTGATGGTTCAGTTAATGGGACGTAACACAGGAAATATATAAAATTCATTAATTTATATAAGTCGTAATAGAAAGGGTATGTGATTCTAATAACCTTTCTCACTTTAACGGTTTCAATGAAATTTCTCTATTATGAGATGTATTCATTGTCATTTACGGTGACACCATTATAATAAATAAAAATTATTGACATTTAGCGGTTTGACATTGCGTCTATGTTTCTTTTTATATTCACTTGTATTTACGCTATAATTAAAAAAAGGGGCTAACGCAATTTAGTTTGCTCGTCGAAATTATTGCACAAGCCCAAAGATAATTTATTATAGAACCTGGTTATTTTACTTAACCCTATAGGCACGTTCATACAATGCATTTCATCACAAAGAAAACAAAAACCGATGTGAAATTTAATTACGGCGGTTATTTCATTGACGGGTAGGTTTTGAGGTTACCTTGGTGCATTTAACTGAAATAGCTTTTTATTTTGTGCGATTATTTCTCATAAAACAAGTAAACCAAATTTCATAGGCCTCTATGGATAATTTCTTATTTCTTCGAATACTTATTAGTTTGATTCTTATATCCTAATATTAATACAAAACTTATATAATTATAATTTATTTATTCGGTAATTTATAGACTTTTAAAGGGCGACAGCCAATTATTAATTTCATATTACATTTTTTACTCATTATTGTTTTTATTATCATCTATTTATCAATCGCCAGCTTTTCGTAAACTCAGGCGACATTATCTCTTGTTTATTCGATAACTTATCGATAGAGTCCACTAGTTTCAATTGATGATACATCTAATAATGTTGCTCTCACGATGGGCCTTAACTTGTTGCGGTGTTCCACGTTACGATAACATGACACTATGAATAGGAGGATATAATGGATGACAGCCATCATACGCAAATAACCACAGGCCCCACCAGAATACCAGCGCCACTGCAACATCAGATTCATAACAGCATAACGACATGATAAAACACTGCTAATTCCAAGTTCTCTGCATTGTTAATAAGTTTTATTTTATTGAAACAATAGAATGTATTTCAGTCCTAATATCTATTTTGTTTCATTATTTCTATCAGTATAGAGACTACTGATCCTAAATGTAGTAAATTTGGAATAGAATAATAGATATCCATAAACGATCAAGTTTTTTGTAGACGCTTACGGTCAAATCATCAATCAACTTAAAATTCGTAACAATAATACTAAAAGGTAATCCATTCCTACATAATTATATCTTTAAGATATTTATAATTTAATAATTATGATATACATATATCCAATGTGACTTAATAATTTTATCAATATAGCTGATGGCTAAATGGACTGAACTCAAATTTTAATTCAATCTACAATGTACCCCGTTAAAAGCAAATAAATTATTATTATTATCTTGTTCTTCAATTCATCTTTCAGTGGAACAAATTAATGAAAAATTAGGTGTTTTTATTTCTTGCTAGATTTATTGGCGGCTATTCTCAGTAAAAGGTTTTTTATCGTAGATTTAGAAACTGACAATAAGAACTTACTCATCGATACTATGGTGTTTTTGATTTACACTATAATAGTGCTTATTAACAGCTAAGTCCGGGTTTAGTTTTATGATTTAATTCTATTTCTCTTTTTTCTGTAAAGCAATACAAACATAATATATGTGTTACCATTTTTTAGGTTGTGTAGAAAAAGTATTCAGTTAGATGTTTATTTTATGTTATAACATAAAACTTTATGTGTTACTTGTCATAATAACTCCAAATGGTTTGTTGAAATAGCTGCTTAACTATATGGTGTTAAACTACGAATTGGATGGCAGCAGAAGCGGTAGCGGCATTGTGACATATTTTGGTTTTAAGGACTCGTTCTCTTTCTTTTTATTTATCGATCATTTCATGGAAAAGTTGTACAAAATACTTTAAAAGTGTCTTGTAACGTTATCAATTGATAAATAATACCTAAGGTATTTGTATTTGGTAACATTATTATAGGAAAAAAAATCTTCATAACACAACACTGAACAACATTGAACTTGCTATTGTTCAAAGACAATATCAAAATAGATTATCTTTCGCATAGTCAAGTCAAAATATTTTTATGAAAACGATAGAAAGAAACTCCCTTGCTCTAATGGCAGTGAAGATATTTTAGAAAACCATGTCATTACCAGATAAACAACATATATAATACATTATTAAATACAAAACCTTACAATGTTATTACAATAAATACCACAATAAATTTAAAATAGGTATCTATAGAATAAAAATAAAAATGGAATGTATTATGTCCAAGCATTCATAATTCTGCTAAATACTTCCTATAATTACCTTTCTTAAAAAGACAACCGTAAATATTAACATTAGTAGGTTAGTAACACCGTGGCATTGTAAGGATGCCTTGTATACTCTGCATTGTGAATTTTCTAAACTGCGACATTTTCCCAATAGAATTTATATAATATCGTAAATGCTAAATTCAAAATTGACGACATAAATTGTACGGTAACCGGGTAAATTACCAAATTAACGGTTTTCCCGCGACTTCGCCTGCATAAATTATAGCTTATATTTAAAACCAGTTCAGTAGAATCAGAGCCTATTCAATTGAAAAATGAAGATTAAAATAAGTAGTTGAGACAAACATGAAAAGTAGGTGTAGATCGAACGAAATTATTATGATATTTTTTAAAAATAACTTTTTAATGCTATTTACTTTCAGTGTAGTTCCATTATATTATATTAAATTATTGAATAGGCTTACTGTTATCCGTAAAATCCGCTTCCGCTCTTACTCAGTTTTCATTTTAAGCTAAATAAGTCTGCGGTAAGCGACAGTAAACCGGTCTGGTTTATCACAGGGAAGGATAATGAGGGACGCACGCTGACATCACAGAAGGGCCGAAACATATAAGCCGGGGGGAGTCTTAATAAAACAGATCGTCTAGTCTCTTGTTACATGTAGACGTCAAAAAATCAAAACTATTTGATATTTCAATATGGTGTTTGAGATA